CTGAGCTGAATTGTACACTGATCACGCTCGAGGTAATAAAAACCATCACTAGCGAAAATGGCGAGCGATTGATGTGCGTCGCTAGAACGTAGCTCTGGCTGGTCCCTGAAGGTGATGAACACTGTTGTCTTAGGACAGCCCCGTCCCCAGACACCCATCCAAAAAGGGCTGAACGATATATGTGAGGTGAGGGGGGTCTTTGATATATATATTACAAGGAGGGAAATATATAGGGTAGGGTGTGTGTTGGTATGGAGGGGGGGAGGGGAGGGAATTAAAAAGAATAGACATGTGTTTTGATGTGTTTGTGTGTTATGAGGTGGGGGGGGTTGGGGGTGGAGAGGTGAGGGGGGTGGTTATATGGTAGTTGGGGGGGAGATAAAGATTAGTTAGGTAGGTGTGGTAGGTAAATGGATATAATTGGTGGAGGATGAGTGTATGGTTTAGAGGAGAGATTGAAAGTTGGTGTGTGGGATATGGGGTAAGGGTTAGAAGATAGAGTTTGATGAGAATATGGATGATAGGTAGAGATAGGGAATAGATAAGTTGGGGTGGGGAGGTGAGAATTTGTTATTGATATATTGTGTATTAGAGTACTTGGCGGAGTAGAAAGGGGTAGGAAGCTGGTTGACGATGGCTACCCTGTTCGCTTCTCTGGTGATTCCGAGTCAATGGCTCAAGATATTTACGGTGCTGGTATTGCCCTCAGCAGATATGCTGCAGGTATTCTGCTCGACTGGATACCAGTGAACAGCCGCATGTGCGCGATTCGAGTTACTAAGCAGCGTCTGAAACCAAGGTGTCTTTTTATCGCCTCAGTTTATTCCTCTAGTGAATCCGGTTCAGTGGGTATCGAAGACGAATTCTATCGACAGCTCTCATCTCTTTTTCGCATGGCGTAGAATACTGACCTCGTGATTGTTGCTAGTGACATGAATGCCCAAGTAGGGTCGTCTTTCAGACAATGAACAACTCCTGGGCGGCCGCTTCGGAGTCGATGCACGCCGAACAGATAATGTTGCGCTGTTCCTGCAACTGTGCGCTAACCACAACCTTTACCTTAGCAGCACTGTTCTCCATCACAAACGTTCACATCGCGTCATCTTGTGCCAACCGAATTCTTCTATGACCTGGACCTAAATTGATCACTTTCCATCAACTATAGATGGCACACATCAGTCGGTCAGTTTTGGCCACGTGCCTGGATTTCGACGATGCTCTAGTGCGCGCACGCCCAGAACTCACTCTTCCCACTTCATCGTCATCAATACACGTTAGCCGAAGGTAAGAAACGCCCCAGCTAAGGTGCTGCAATACAAAAAGGATAAGTGATTAAACCTTGCAAACTAAATAGGTTAAAAAATGTAATATGATGCTAAATTCATGTTGCATTGCATTGAGATCATTTTTGAGGGGTGGAGCTAAAAGGGATGGGTGGAACAAAGAGAATCCCAACAGAGACGCCGTTAAGTTCGGCTCCTCGCCATGTCAGCTAGTGTATCCAACCAAAGCTAACCTATCCAATCATGCAATACAATATATCTTCCTTCAAACAATTCCCATTTTAAAGAAGCGCCCATTTTCTAACTTTCCTACTTGTAACTTGAAATCGCCATCTGCAGTCCAACAATCTCATGCCGAAATGCGATACCACTTTTCAGTGCAGAATGAGGTCGGGGAATAGAACACTGACTGGGATCATCTAGAATTTGTCATGAAGATTGCGATCGCTCTTCACCAGACTTGAGACGTAACTGTGAATGGATCTCTGTGACATCGATCAATTTGATCGAAGCACGGGAACAAGTTCCGAGCGACAGTACGTTTCAGCGTGTCCGTAGCTCTCTGAATCGACGCATGGCGAGGTATCATCGAATCAACCGGGAACGTTAGTGAATGGCAAAGACCAGTGGGATGGAGAAAGCCAGTGTCAGTAGGAACAACCGAGTGCTATTCCAGCTCATCCCTAACACGGGTCCGAGACAGCCATCGGCTAGCGAGACAATAACTGAGAAAGATGGGCAGTTGGTCCGTTCTCATCTTCGTCGACTAGCCCGTTGGGTGGAACACTTTAAGGAGCAGTTCAGCAGAGCTGCTGTGGTACTGCCACTTGTTGAATCGCCTGAGCCGACTTGGGAAGTGGAACTCACGCCTCACTTTGGAAGAGATTCCACATGAGCTTTCCGTGTTGAAAAGAAACAAGACTGCAGGACCCGACGACATTTCTCCATCTTTGCTGAAAGATGCTGGCAACTATTGAATGAACTTACTACTATACTTAACAAGATTTGGAACACTGAAGAGGTGCCTTCAGATTGGTGACTGTCAACTGTCGTGTCCATTTCAAGAGTTTTAGCGTACTTTTTACGGATATCATCGAGACACCGAAACTCCTCACAGTTATCTGCTCCAACGACTTACTGGTCCCCATGAGTACCGAACCACTGAAAGCCAGGCTGGCTTCCTCCCTGACCGTGGTTGTATGGACCGCATCTTTACTGTTCGCCAAGTTTTTAGCAGACATACACACAGGCGACCGACTATGGTGATTCTCCTTGCCTTGATAGCTGTCTTCGACTCTGTTGACTGCACCAGCTTGTGGCACTACGTATCCATGAAGGGCATGTCAACTAAATTCCCTTCCGTTGTGCAATCTCTCTACAGTGACTACCGAGACCTTGTACGGGTCTACAGATAACTGTCTCCTGAGTTTCCCACGACAAGTGGGGTTCCTCAGGGTTGTCCTATATCTTCTTTTCTCTTTAACTTTGTCATGGAAATGATATTTGAGGACTACGTTCTTTCAAACTCTACCAGAGTGGAAATTCTGTCAGGTGACCGACTGACTGACCTGGTGTATGCGGACGACATAGCGGTTATTAGTTCTGACGCAGTCATTGTGCAGACATTACTGGATAGACCGACGCTGCACTTTGAAGGTGCAAAGTACTGTTGCAGGACTTGGCCGATACCTCTCCGGTCCTAGCTACCACCGAACAGCCACTGAACGTCGTGGATTGGGTCGATTACTTTGGTAACTGTGTCACCTCCGGTGGTCCCGTCGCTGAGGAAGCTACTTCGCGTATTAGCATGGCCCATGTGGCTTTCCAGAGACTCAACAATCTACGGAGATGGCAAGCTATCAGCCTGTCCGTGAAAGCTGGGGTGTATATCGCTGCGGTAAGGCCTGTGTTACTGTGTGGACCAGAGACCTGGTCATTTTGCGGTAAGGACATTCAACGCTTAGCCGTGTTTAACCACCGGTCCTTGCGGAGTATTGCTCACGTCTGGTGGGAACATGGGGCGAGCAGTGCTGAGGTTCGCTCGTTGGTTTTTGTTAAGAAGACTTCAGGGGTTTCTCTCTAGTGTTTGGTGTCTTAATTGTTTGCGTTGGCTAGGCCATGTTCACCGTATATCCGTTGCCCGACTTCCTCGGCGTGCATTATACGCCGCGAGGTGACCAGTCCATGGCGTGGCATAGAGTCATAAAAAATTGTATCATGGACTTGTTTAAGCTGATGCATGCCGTCTTCTTGGAAAGGCCCCCGTGATGGTTCACACCAACGGTTGGAGACCTTATCAGCCATGGCGCAGTCACGTTGTCAGTGGCTTTCTTGCATTCGGTTTCTTGCATCTGGTTCTTGATTTCCATTCCATTCTGGTTAGTTTTGCGCACTTCTTTCTTGATTCCATTTTCTTTATATTCTATTTTTCTTTAACCCGACTATCTTGCCTTTGCTATTTTTTGTTATTGTTGCGATATGCGTTGTGTCAAGTGAATCCACCACACTTTTGTGCCCGATTCATAGTTGATCAATTGAACTGATCTGAACTGAATAGTTGCTGGACATTTGCATACGACACGTATAGGGAGCGTATCGTACCCGGATAAGATGTGGTGCAGCTGCAATATGCTTCCACCGCGCAGGAATCAACGAAGTGATTCCGCGCATGTGACCGATCCACCTATGATAGAGCAACACCGATTTTTATCTTCTCGCCTCTATTCTCAGTACACTGTAGTGGAAGCAACATTACAGGCTAGTGCCATGAGCTGTTTTCTATACCAAACACTTGTACCGCTTCGTCCTGGTCCGACCCAAACATAAACGGCACATCGTATGGCTCAGTTGTTACCATTACTGATTCTGTGCGGTGAAGTTTCGTCTGAAATCTACACCAACCCCTGAGACTCAAAACGGCATGTGCGTAGTGTTTGACACTCATCATCGTTTCTAGATCGGCCGTCATTAGTCCTCATTTATGCCCCTAGCCCACATCTTCGCCGTCTGCTTATTCGTTTTTGTCCTTTTTATTTCTTGATCACAAGTAGAGGTCACACTTCGTTATTCTACTGAGCACTATGCGGGGAGAGCTGCAATTTTCGTTCAATTATAGGATCTATCATGCGTCGGCTTTTCGGTGAACGTCAGCTGAGCATGATCTCTTCTCCAGAGCTAAAAGCCACGCCTGCACATGGCATCATCTCTTACCTACTGCTGCACCGTGAAATTGGTATCCTTTTCTCAAACTTAATTATCGGTTTTCTTTTTGGTTTCTTATCTATTGCGGGAACCGTGCCTAAACGTTTTTTTTACTCCAATTAAGGTACACTTCGAGCGAATTGCGTAGGACTTTTTGCTAAAATGACTTCAGGGGAGTTGGCACACAATCCTCTGCTATTCTCTGCATGCGATGTATCTCAGATAATGCAGTAACAGTACATTTGGTCATATCTGTAGGCTCACTCTGTTATCTCATTAAGGGAAACACATGCTCCCATTCTGAGTTTAAGTGTTTCTCTCCATTACGCTTTTCTATCTCCGTTCATTTCTACTAGCTGATAAGTCGATATTATCCGTAATTAGGCGGGGTCGCCTTTCGATCTCATGTTTACGTCAAGCTTTAAGTTGGATTACTGAAAGTGGATATCTTTTGGTCCTTGTAGCTTGGGTCACTTTGCATCACAAATCGCACAAATACATTTTCTCTTTTCGATTAGGCAAAGAGCCTAGCTCAACGTCTTTCACTCGCTAGAAGGTTGATTTATCCTTCTGCCTGGATACCGGAGCTCCCAGGGGTCGTTGAGTTTTCCTCTAATGAAAGTATGGGTCACTCTGCTGATCGATTGGCCGCGGCTTTTCACGTCAGTCGTGATGAGCAGGATTTGTACGCGCTGCGGTCCCATCAACTTGCTAGAAAAGCGTCGGATGAAGGCTTTCTTATTGACGTTCTGCCTGTGAAAGTTCCAGGATCCAGCCACTACGTAGAGAAAGTATGTTTTATCTTACAGTCACCGTTTTTGTTCGTTTACTGGTAGTTTTCCACAGAGCACCTAGATTACTTGACTGATCGTTTTACCAACACAAATTAGACTTATTTACGTTTTGCTCCTATATTTTTTCTCAAGAACATACTTTCTTTCATTGCATTGTCTTCAAGCAAAACTTACTCTCGCACTTTTAAGACAGAAGCTGATACTTTGTGGGGCCATTGCCATGATCAATTGCAGCTTCCTTTTTGTCGCGACTACTCTCCATCCTTACACGTTCCTGCATTTTTTTGGGTAGCCGCCTGCTGTTGATTTATTTCCCATGAAAATGCTTAAAGTATCTGCACATTTCATCGCAAACTGTGGAAGCCTGCGCTACTCTACTGTCGGCCTGCAATGTCTATCTTAAAACGCTAGTGCTTTCCCCTAACTCTAACCAGCTGCTCTTAACAGTACCTTGTTGATGGGTCCCACATCCCTAGTTCTTGGAGCGGCAACATCATTGACGTCTTCACACGTGTGTTGCATTGCATGCTAGAGATCCCGGTTGTATTCTCGGTTTCCGCCCTATATTGTCGACTTTTTGGCCTTTTTGCCCTCATATTCTATCAATGTATCAACTTACAGAGGCTAAATGAATGGTGAAAATCTCTGTCGGCTTCTTGCGGTTGTTAATATTTCACATATGTCTCTCGTGTACATGCAGGTGTTGTACTGAATACCTTGCGTCGATACTTGAGTGCCTTTTGTCGCGTTTACTGGTTTACACGATGGTTGACGCTGTCACGTTGGTTGATTGGATCCACTTTACCTCGGCCTCTTGACGGCACAGTTGCGAGCATCCATTTTTCTTCCGAGTTCACCTCAAAGCCGGTTGTTGCTTTACAGTGGTGCCCAGCACCGCCACCTTTAAATATTGCACTTCATCAAGGAGAACATTAAACAAATGATTGATTACTCGTTTCCGAGTGAGACGTGAAACAAGTACGGTGGAATCGAAGTATATCATAAGACCGATTAGGTACGCATGTGTACAACCGTTTGGTAGGTAAGCAAGCAGCATTAGGCGTTTGATTAGACAGCATGAGCATGGGCCAGTGATCTCAGTGAAGGTAAGTCACGAATCACACACACTCATACTCATGTACTGCGCAGTCGGACGCGGTAACGCGTAGATGACCATGTGAGAATGCATCACTCCTTACCCGTGCGATTCCAGCCATCCATCGCGAAAGCAGTCAACCGGTTGGCGGTTGCGGATTGATCTGCTGAGCGGGGCTTCAGCCTCCCATGAGGTGTCACTCACATGCATGCTGTCCATTACTGGAGGTGGGGGAGTCGGTTTACAGGTTGCTTCTGAATTTGGTGGCCTTGGTCGCACATCGTACGACTTTGCCGTCTTCAACATTTGCATGTAGGGTCTTTCCGTTGGCTGTCTTGACCACAGCTGACTGTCATCCGGGGCCTGTTGACACATATACGTAGCTTAGATCCTACTGTATGCCACCAGCCTTTCTTTACTACGGCATCGAAGCGTTCTTTTGCTCGTTATTGTTTATCAACAACTTCAGATCCCAGAGTAGCATGCAATAAATCCAGTACGGTACGCAAACCATGGTTCCACATGAGCTCCACAGAACTACTTCCAGGTGTATCTTTTGTCAGATTCCGGTCAGCATAAAGGACACGGTCCATGCGCACGCTCGCAGCATATTTTTCACAGGTTTCACGACTTTTTCAGCCAAGCCGTTTCACGAAGAATGGATTGGGAGCAGTGGTTATGTGTTTAATTCTATTTAAGCTGTGGAAGGTTGCAAACTCGTTACTAGTAAACACAGATCGGTTGTCCGACACTAGTGTATCAGGGAGTAAGGTATTTAGTGCGAATTTAGTGCACATTTTGATTATTGTGCTAGCAAATGTCACTGTGGCCAACATGTTGGTTTGAAGCCACTTAAAATGAGCACCAACAACTAACAAACCTATCTGCCCTACGGATTGATCCTAAAAGTCTACGTAGACAAGTTTCCATGGCGTTTTTCGCCATTTCCGAGGCTGCATCTGTACCCCGGGATAACGTTCCGATCTTCTTGATAAAGCGTGCAATTACCAGCTTTCGACGCAATGTCACTATCTAATTCCAGCCACTATTTATAGAAACAGATAAGTACCTTCGTTTTTGAAACTTTGGGTACACCTCGTAAAGTTCCTCCAGAATGCTTAGTCCCAATCTTTGAGAGACAACAACCTGTGCGTCCCAAATCAAACATCCGTTCTGGGAACTGAGTTTGGTCATTATTGCGAAAAGGTGTTTTCGGGCCACCCAGCTTGAGCATAATGTTTTACTAGAGGTAATAACGGATCCCTGTCGGTCTCATGACATACATTTATGGATTTGACCGGGTTTTTGTTGAAAAGCTAACTTGGATTTTCCATTTCTTGTAGAGTGAATTGCTCCAAACGGACCTCCGGTAAGGGGGATGGACTAAGAGCATCGGTGCTGGCCACGCTTGTACTGAGTTCACTCAGTCGGTCAGTATAAGCTTTATGTATTAAATGCGTGCACTTTCGGCACTTTACATTATAAGCTGTAAATTTACCAAAGGATTATCATTGGAAATGCTAAGTTTACAAATGCATAGAAAAATGAGAAGTATGCACTACCATAGATTGATCGAGCAACAATCACAGAAGGCTGAAATAAATCTTCGGGATTTGTAACCATTCAGCACGAAAAAGGTTGCATTAAAACCTTTCTTCAGCATTCGTTTTACCTGAGGTAAAACTTTGTGTCTAAAGACAACTGATCGGAGATCTGCTCGATATCTCATCGTTTGTATTCACAAGGTGGACGTAGTAGAGGGTCCCTGTGATCTTTGGAGTTGATCGAACAAAATTAATGTCAGCTTGATCTTGCAAAACTGTGATATATGCAGTAGATAATGTCAAAAATGAAGTTTGGGGAAAAAGGCAACGGCCGGCTTAAATGGCTTGTCACACGAGGAGCCAGTATATCATTCTGGGTGACGTCATTTGTTGACTTTCCTTTTCCTGTCTAAATAACGAAATTCTGATTTAGGAAGTAAATAACAGTGACTACCTCTCCATCGAGCTTAGATTAATTCCTTTCGGCTGCGATTAAGGTACGTAAAGCGCAAGCAACAAGTCACCGTGAACTACCATATTGTTTTGTCGCAAAACTGTCCCAAAGTCGAGAGGAGAGGCATCACAAGAGAAACCAATCGGTTTTTTGGATCTCAAAGTACAAGAACAGCCGCTGTTGACAGGCATTCTCGTGGACCGCCTTCCATTTCTACTGTTTATTCCTGCGAAAAAAATGTTGAAGCGAATGCAAACGATTTGATGCCGGTGGTACGAATCGGGAAAACCGCGTGACTTCTCTTAGAAAGTTTCCTAGTTCTTTCACATATTTTGGAGCTGGGGCTTTAAGCAGCGCCCTTGTTTTCTATCCTAACGGATACAGCCAGTCACGCGATCGCGTGACAGTTTATATCCAAGGTGTTGTACATTGGAGGAAAGAAATCCACACTTTATTTTTTCAGTATCAGCCTAGGATCTGATACCCTTTTGCGGACTACATCCAGCATTAGCCCGCCTTCTAATTGGAATGTCCTCCAGATATGCACATATTTTTAGTATGTCTTTCACGATCGTGTCTGGCGTCATCAAGAATGAGCGTTTCTTTACTCATGAGTGGCGGATTTTTGTTGTACCTAATAGAGAGTTCATCGCACCAGATTCCACATGCCCGGAAAAGCGCTAGACTCCCATTTCAACTTGTTGTGCATCATCAGTAGTGCGCATCCATCACATCCTTGCTCAGCGATTCTCCGTATAGTTGCGCCGTTTCCACCTCGGCTTGCGTTCCGTGTACTAGTTTACTGGAAAGGCTGGATTCAATGGATCAATACCCTTTTACTCTTTGTGATGGATGTTGCGTCAGAAATTGGTCTTTATCCTTTTTGTTAACAACTCATAGATTACTCGCGATTTATCCAGGCCCACAAGTGACAATAATTTGGATGGTCCTGCGAATTGTTCGGCTTACAAAGCTACGGGTTCCGAGAAGAAATCCGTTTCTCATCCCCGTCTTCGAGGCAGATTGTTCTGGAAAAGACGCAAAACATTATCTAATGTTGTTTTGTTAACTGCACAACCATGCATGCACCTCACGTGTTGTTCTTAAGTATTATGACGGCTTCGAAATCTCACAGCAGTCTCTTTATTGACTATTTACACTCCATGAACCTTACTTTATATTTTTACCGGCTTAGTTAGCATATGAATACTTCGAGTTTGTCTCCGTATACACTGTTTCACGTACTTTATCACCCCTTACGTTTATTGTTTATAGCATATATCAATGGTATCTTCACGCGTTCTCGTGACTATGTTGACAATTACTACCTAGGATAACGGCATACGCCCGTCAACCCCCGAAGTCATGGCCAAATTGAAACCGGCTTTCGTGAAGCCCTATGGCACAATTACCGCTGCGAACGCTAGCTTTCTGACCGATGGTGCCTCAGCCTGCCTGTTGACTACGCTTGAACGAGCAAAAACTCTGGGTTGGACTCCAAAGGCATTCCTACGTGACTTCGTTTACGTTGGTCAAGATCCAAACGACCAACTTCTCCTTGGGCCAGCGTATGCCATTCCGCGGTAGGTCTTTACATCGCCTACAGTCTGTTTCAATCAGCCTTTACGGATACAGGTATGCGTGAACTTATAAAATTTTCTACTCCCATCACACAGTTATCCCGAAGTGACAGTCGTTTCACTTTGAAGTCGACCTTTTTTCTCCTCTATGGTAAGCATACTGGAATGGTAGTCCACCATTTGCTTCTGGAGCCTGTTTACTTGGCGCCTTCATCGACTGGTACCACTGGACGTCGGGACCCGTCTTCCGATTGACTGTATCGGAGCTGCAGTCAGTGGGCGCATAGGCGGAGCTCACAAAAAGAGCACGCTTCTCTACTCGATGTCTGCCATCCTTGCAAGAGCCACGGAGTCTCATAGCACCCGAGTCGAAGCTTTACAAATCATTCGGTAGAAGTTGTTTCACTTGCTTGGATTTTAAGCTGAGATATAACTGTCTGCTAGTGTTATGGGGACCTAACGTCCCTTGTCGTGCGTGGATATAGTTCCGAGTCACATTCGTTCGTCCGACTAAGAGAGTTGATACCGGATCGTCAGAAAATGGCGTAACCAAGAGCAACTCATAAACCCAAACAGCTAATCATTGATTTCTCAAATGCAAAACTCTGGAATATCTCTGCTTCCGGACAAGGTATTTCTTTGTTGTCTGTATTAGCTTATCCCAATTCGCATCTCAAACGGTGCCGCGTCAACCTTTATCCAAGAATTTTTTTATCGGGTACCTGTCAGGATCAGTTAACTGATTACGAATATTCCGGACATTTTTGAATAGAAATTCCTTTGCGTGCCTTCTGCTCATTATGATAAACTTGGCCTGGGTGCCTTACTTAATAATTTTACAGAATCCAATGACTTGCAATTTGGCTTTTGATTCACCAGCCCCTTACCAATCTCATATCTTTCCATTTCAGTCTGCTCGATCGAAATGGACTAACTTTGAATGATATTGACGTGTTCGAAATCCACGAGGCGTTCGCTGGTCAGGTGCTAGCCAATCTGAAGGCGTTGGACAGCGAATACTTTTGCAAAACCCACCTTGGTCGTACCACAACCGTTGGTACCTTACCCATGGATAAGTTAAACTTATGGGGTGGTAGCCTCAGTTTGGGACATCCTTTCGGAGCCACTGGCGTTCGATTGGTCACTACCGCTGCGAACCGCCTCCGCGCTGAGGGGGGCCGTTTAGGCCTTGTCGCTGCTTGCGCCGCTGGGGGCCTGGGCCACGCACTACTTTTGGAGGTTTGCTGATTTCAATTATCTTCTAGTTTCTTACGTACTTTGTGTTCACAATTTTCTTGAACTTATCTAACTGGCCGGATGAATTCCATCTTTTTTACTGTACTGATTCTGCACATTGGCGCCAAATATGAAAACCAAATTGTACGTATCTCTGCTTTTTTTCTGCTGGCCCATTTCATGGAGGTGCTTGTGATCAATGTGTGCGCTACGGTTTCCGGGATAACGTCTATCTGTCACTCTCGTTTGCCCCACTATCTTGTAACAAGGTCATCCTCATTATACACGTTAGAAGGTGGAAAACACCTCAGCTACTGTGCCGCAATACACAAAAGAAACAACGTAACAAATTCATGTCAGCTGAGCTACTAGTAACGGATGGGCATCGTTCCGGAAAGTTACCAGCCAGCTACTACGCAGCAAAAAAATTTATCATTTGCCAGTTTTAGGAAGAGCAACACCCAAATATATCCGTCGCAATCAGCCGACAATTCAGATATGTCGACCAGCTATCCGGAAAAGCACCAGACGGCCGTTTCGCCCTATTGGGGCTCATCAGTGGTGCGCATCCTTCGGTCCTCTGCGGAGGATCGAATCCATGACTGCTAATGGCTCTTGCCAACTAGCCCGCAGCTTATGCAACTGCGCCATGGAGGACGGTATCCAACTATCATGAATTGTTAGCTGAATGCGATATAGCCCGACGCATCCTCCACTGCCATGCAGATGATAGCGGTCGGCCTTCCGGCGTCAGGACTTCCCGGTTACGGCAGCTATGAATCGACATAGCATTTTGTGGAATCCGTACGGGCGAATTGGTCGACATATCTGAATTGTCGGCTGATTGCGACGAACAAAAGTACTCACCAAAATCCTTCCATTCATAAGTAACCCAAATATATCCATTCAGGATACGGTCCTCGAGATCGCAATGACCGAGATTTATCTCAAAGTGAACCGAGGTCTCAATAGATGTTGCGAGTCGCAACCCAACCACACAGCGTGCTCCCTAAATTCAGCTTTAAAATTATATTACGCTAAGAATTGTGATCTTGTTTGGAGTGGGGAGAGCTAAATAGGATGGGGAGAGGCAAAGAAACACTCAGCACAAACATTGTTGAGGTCGGCTCCTCGTTATATCAGCAAGTGTATCCAGCCAAATGTGTTCCTGGTCTTTCGGACCGCATCCAGGGAGCCGAGACGCTCCAACCAATGATACTTCTTTCGTCCGTTCCAGGTGGATAGTGAATCTACTCGTTAGCCCTAACTCGCATTCATAACTCAGCATCACTGGGTTGAAACTCAGGTCGCGAGTATGTTTATCTGTCTACGGTAGAATGGTTATTGCCTCCATGGTTTTTTATTCCGCAGATTTTGAGGATGCTCATCTCCATAAACCCCGTGTTCCTCTGCATTGCGACTATGTGTCCTATATGTGCTCATATGCCTCCCAGCTTCCTATGATACACCACTTATAGGATCCTTTCCAACCTTTCCGAATGTCACACATGCGGAGATAATCCATATACCAACTGTGATTCAGAAAACAGCGTCACATATTTCTGGTTGGGTCACATATATAAGCTACACAATCGTTATCGCACATGAAATCAGGTAACTTACTTTTCTTCGATCCGGTCAATCCAAAATAACCAATCAGCAGAGCGGTGTGGACGTATCATCATTTTCTACCACTGATATCGGAACCTGTTCCATTCATCTCTAGGGGGCTGCTTTGACTGCGTCTGTTGCTGGATTCTTTTCCACATGCCCACCGACTTGTGAACACTCCAACCCCCACCGGTCTCTGCTCAGAAGCACCTTGCTTGTCAACGCAGACCACAGAATTCTCTACTTTAGTTTTGTCCAGTTTTTCCGCGTCGTTCCAAAGATGCCCGGCTCTTCTGATTATATTTCCTCCTATATCCTCGTGAAATCTCCAACATCCACCTTTACCATACCATTTTTCCATCTTTAGGATGCAATGGGTGTTACCTAACTCCGCAATTTTCCCCCTGCGTCATCTCAGAATGCCCCGATCTCTACTGCCATGGTATCGTTTCTGATTCACCGTTCCTTTCTTAAATGTCCTCTCACTCGTTCGTAAGATGGCGAAATCGATCGTGAAACTGTGGCCAATATGGACATCAAAATCGTTTTCGATCTTCATGGACGCCGCATTGAGTCTGGCTGATGTTTTACTCAAAAATAACGATTTGAGTATTTTCCAGATTGGTTACGGTTTCTGTCAATTGCTCCCTTTTAATATCGACCGTTTCATAGGTGCGTACTGTATGTATGTGTGTATT